AGTACAGGCATGGTTCAAGTGGTAGAACCATGCAAGCACAAAGCCCTGAGTTTAAATCCAAGTACCACCAGAAAAATCCCCAAACACCCAGTCCATGCTATTTCTACCACTATGGTTGCTCTGTTCATGTGCCCAGCATGATAGGTTTGGAATGGCTGAAGGATAAATAATGTCGATTGACCAAAAAATTTCTTTTCCTCCCTCTGTCCCTCCCTCCCTTCCCTTTTTTCTTTTTTTGGCAGTACTGGGGTTTGAACTCGGCCTCATGCTTGCTAGGCAGGCAGCCTCTCTACCACCTGAGACACTATGCCAGCCTTGTTTTGTGTTGTGTATTTTCTTTGTGTGTGTGTGTTGTGTATCTTCAAGATAGGGTCTCACAAACTATTTGTCTGGGCTGGCTTCGAACCGTGATCTTCCTAATCTTTGCCTCCTGAGTAGCTAGGATTACAGGTGTGAGCCACCAGTGTACGGCTCAGATAGGGTCTTGTGATTTTGCCCAGAACAACCTCAAATGGGGATCCTCCTCCTGTTTCCTGAGTAGCTGGATTGTAAGTATGTACCACACACACAGCCTGGCCAAACAATTTTGCATCCTTCATACTTTCTGGTGAGCATTATCCTGATGTGAGTTTTACATAGTGGACTACTTCCATTTTACCTGCATGCTTCTGCCCTAGAGCAGACTTGCTGGACGTATCCAGTAATTTGTACATGTTCGGATTTCTTCCATACAAGGTGGAAAGACCAAGGGCACAGCTAGCAGCTATTCCCATTGGGAATAGTTTTTACCCTCCATCTTTCAGGGTCACACCTGCAGCCTTTCAAGACCACCCATCTTTTTTGTTTGTTTGTTTTTGTCAGTACAAGGGCTTTGTGCTTGCTGTACAGGTGCTTTACCACTTCAGCCATGCCTCCACCATTTCTAATGGTGGCTCTAATTTCTACCATCTATTACCCTCCCAATGACATTTTCTTCATTATCTCAATCACAGGTGGAGAGCACTGTCAGAAATTTACATTTGACCTTTCCTGCCATGATAATCCTTACCCTATAGGTCAAGTAAATAATGTGGGGTTATTCCAGATCATTTCCAGTTATGTAAAAATCACTGGGTAGACCCACACATCCACTGGGCTCACTGTGAGCCATACTTTAGCCAAAACTCTATTAACTGGGTCCCATAGGCCAGGGGACTATGATGCTTTTGGCCTTTAGTTATCAATGTCATCTCAGACGCCTTCACTAACAGACACTGGATCTGCAAACTGGCTGCATTCTAGAACCTAAGCAAGGGAGCCTGACTTATTAGAGGTGACCATCCTTTGTGTTTGTTCTTTCATTCTGGTCAACTTTGTTGGTTTGAGATGTTTAACTGCACCCTTGTTGGCTTGTCTATTGTATCTATTTTTGTCTTTTATTTTTCCAGTGGGACTGGGGTTTAAACTCTGGGGTTCATGCTTGCAAAGCAGGCACTCTATAGCTTGAACCAAGCCCCCAGTCCATTTGGCTCTGGAGGTACTGTGATCTATTTCCCTGGGCTGGCCTTGAACAGCAATTTTCCCAATCTCAGCTTCCCAAATAGCTAGGATTACAGGTGGGAGCCACTGACATCTGGCTTTTGTCTACTTTATTAACAATCTTCACAACTACCTGCTAGCTAAGACCTCTTGGTCTTCTGTTCATAATTTTGGGGCCCCAATCATCCTCATCTCACAACTTGCTTTCTTGAAACATTTCTAGCACTACTTGTACTGATCCAAGTCTTCTAGGAAGCCAACCACAAAAGCGAGAAATCTTTGAGACAGGGTCTTGCTATGGCTTGTAAATTGAGATCTTACTGCCTTAGCCTCACAAATGGTGAGATTGCAGGCATGTGCCATCATGTTTGGCCCCTTGCAAGAGATTAGGGGCAGCACTTGTAGAAAAAAAATGGGGCAGCTGAGAGTGCCAGCCATCTGAAGGGAAGGAAGATTAGGTGGAAATATTTAAAACCAAAGTTAAACTGAAGTTCAATCCCAAGGAAGTTTGGCCAAGGCCATTGGAGAGTATTCAAGCAAAAGCTGCCTGTCAGAGTTCTGTGTCTCCCAGAAATCATCCTGCCTTAGAAGCCTCCCAGCCTCTCACTGGCTGGGAGCAACCTTTGGGAAGTATGGCCTTGGCATGAATGCAGTAATGGACTTGGCACTCAGCAGCTGCAACAGCTGTCAATTATACTCCCCATAGTTGGAGAACTGAGAGGCTCATTTTCACAATACCACATATCTAGTTGGAGAACTGAGAGGCTCATTTTCACAATACCACATATCTGGTTATCTGATATGTGCTATGGCCATGTATCTCTGGATGAGACTTTTTTTGGTGATGGTACTGGGAATTGAACTAAGGGCACTGAGTTTGCTTGGCAACCACTCTACCACTTGAGCCACGCCCCTAGCCCCAAGAATCCCTTTTGTATAAAAGGTAGAGCAAGGCATTAAGCACACATTCTAAATCTAAAATTAACTCAGAGCCTCATACCTGATTCTCAGGGGAAAAAAAAAAATCAAAATCCTCAGTTAGGACATCAGTAACTTAATACTGGCAAGACTTAAAGAATGAAAAAAGTGGAACTTCTAGGCACCCTCCAATTATCCAGGTAAGGAACCGTAACTTTTTGTCACAATCTCAGCAATATAGGCTGAAAATCTAAAATCCAGAGGGTGTAACTCTCTTACCTAATCCATAGGCAGCAGAGGCATGACTGATGTATTACCTCCCTTATGAAAAGTTGCCAAGTTGTAGGAATTTCATCGTTCTTCAGAGGGGTTTTTTTTGTTTTTGCTGTACTGGGGCTTAAACTCAGGTCCTACTTAGCGGTTTCTCCTCTTACCCATGCTCCTGTCACCATTTCTCATGTTAAGCCCTCATTCCTTCCATCTGGCTCCTGGGTACTTGATCAATTTTCTGTACCACACCATTTCCAACATCTCCACTAGAGTGGGAATTCAGAGCACTCTTCTAGAACTGATTTAATGTGGCATTTAAATCAAATGGTAGGGTCTATGGACATCTAAGTGAGCTTTAAGGCACAGAATAACCATTTGTCCAGGGCAAATATCTTCTACCTTTTAGCAGGAATAACTGGTTTGCCAAACCTCTATTTTCATTAATTAGTGGCTCATCCAACTTGCTGAGGTAATTAAATCCTCAGGTCTTTTTATCTTGTTAACTGAGTCTCTTTTTTTTTTTTTTTGTGGTCTAAGGTTTGAACTCAGGGCCTACATCTTGAGCTATTCCACCAGCCCTTTTTTGTGATGGGTTTTTTTGAGATAGGGCCTTGTGAACTATTTGCTGGGGCTGACTTTGAATGGCAATCCTGAGTAGCTAGGATTACAGGCATGAGCCACCAGTGCCCAGCTTAACTGCCATCTCAAACTGTTTATTTTCCTCTCAATGTTCAATGGTTCCTTTATCCAAATTCAGATACTGTTAGCTGGGGCCCATGACCAGCCTCAAGGGAAGTCCTTCTACTTGCAGTGGCCATTACTAGATAAACGTATTGTTATTCCTCAGGAGCCAGTATGGGCTCATGGCATTCCTTCTCACACCATTATCTTAACAGTAGACTCCTTATTCAATCAGCTTTGTTTCCCATTTTCTATAGTAAGCCAGAGTAACTTACTCTGTATCACCTTCTTCCCTTCAGCTGACTTCCGTGATGATCACTGAACTGAGTGATTCTAGCTATATGTTAGGGACTTCTTTATGAGCCATTTTTTCTTCCATTGGACAGTGGTGTTACCAGTCTCAATACCCAGGAACCTAAGACAATGAGGGTATTTGGAAGAGTGTAAAATGCCAAAATATTTATGATTATGTATTTTAATTTTAAACATGGGAAAAATAATTTGTGGGAACCCAGTCTAGGTTGTTCTGGATATAGACACATGAAGTTAGTGAAAGTGACCTTTTCCTAGTTCAAATACTATTTAGTGGTCAGATTGAACATTAAGAAAAGGCTTTGTAGCTGGGTGCTGGTGGCTTATGCCTGTAATCCTAGCTACTTAGGAGACAGAGATCAGGAGGATCAAGGTTTGAAGCCAGCCCAGGCAAACAGTTTGCAAGACCCTATCTGGAAAAAACCCTTTACAAAAAAGGTCTGGTGGAATGGCTGGAGGTGTAGGTCCTGAGTTCAAACCCCAGTACTAAAGAAAAAAAGAAAAAAAGGCAATAAAGCATAAGAACACAAAACATTTATTTTTAGAAAAAACTTCATTTATAGCCATTCCCTCAGATGAAAAAAAAAAAAGGACTATGATAAAAATGGTGTTTGTTTTCTTAGTAATTGGGCTTTATTTCTTTACATTTACCCCAGGACTCGTGTCACTTTCCTTGGAGCATGAGACTCCGTAATAGTAAGCTTATGCTTAGAGATTCAGTCTTGGAATCCAGTATACTCTATTGCTGTTCAACTGGAAGACATTTGCAGCCTTTGCAGCTAATCTCAGAATACCATCTTTATGGCAACAGACTCCTTATCTCAAACTGATGTAAGTGACCAGAACTGGGCTGAGCAGGAACCCAAAAGCCCACACTTGCCCACTGTTGCTACCACTGTCAGAAATGTTGCCAATGACTCAAAGAAAATGAAAAAAGTCCTTTCCTTCTCATTTTTTTTCCTCCCATATTAGTCTCCTGAATTCAAAGAAACAACAGGAAGCCAAGGAGGCAGGGGAGGAATGAAGGCCCAGGATACAGGGGGTTCTTTATGAGGCAAAGACACAGCTTTCCATTAGCAATGGCACAAAAGATTGCCAGCTAAACTTTCAACTGCTTCATTGGTTTAAATAAAATGTTTACTTCAGCTCTAGGGACCATCCTGTGTAATTCAGACTCAGTACTGCATAACATGAAGAATCTACCAGGCTAGGATTATACTGTTTTCCCAAGAGGCAGACATATTCTACTGGAGAGCAGGTATAGATACAAAAGACACCTAGAGCTGTTTTACACATGGCAAATTCTTTATTTTCATATTAACCTTAAAACTCAGAGCATGAACAAACAAAAATCCCATTGCCCTGTTCTCAAAGCAGGTGCAAGGATACATAAAATAACATATTCTGTATTTGCTTAATGTTATACCCTAAAATGGGAAAACCTTGGAGATAGGAGTAAGGGAACAGTGGGTCAAAGTCTCTGGTGGTGCTCAGGAGACTCTGGGTCTATAGATGAAGTCTCCCACAAGTGGAAATGAGAGTAGGGACTGGGAGGACACTTTCTTTACTTTTTTGGTTTATTGAGACAGGGTCTCAGTAGCCTGGGCTGGCCTGAAACCCAAAATCCTCCTGCCTCCTGAGTGCTGGAATTAACAGATGTGAATTACCATGCCCAGATGGAAACATTTTTTTCTTCTTATTTTTTTTCCCAGTGCTGGGGATCAAATCAAGCCCCTGTGAATGCTAGGCAAGCACTCTATCACTAAGCTACATTCCCAGCCTGAGATTTTTTTTTAGAGAAATCAGTTTATCCTGTGATTTTCCTTCCAAACACATACAAATTTGAGCTGGGGATGTAGTTCAGTGGAAGAGTGCATGCCTAGCATGCATGAGGCTCTGGGTTCAATCTTCAGCACTCCCCCCTACCCCCAACAATACAAACTTACTATAGAAATTCAAGGATTGGCAAGACTTGATATTCACCCAATTTTCCTGGTTTAAAAAAAGAAGTCCCCTGGTTACTACTCTGAAAGGAATCAATCAGCATCAAGTATACTTCAAGGCAAGTCAAACCCTAACCTTGCCCCACCAGCATCCTTTCTATGACAATCTGCTAAAGCCAGGTAAATTTTGCTTTTTTGTTTTTTTTGAGACAGTCTTTTGTTTTCATTTGAATAATTTTCTGTCTCTAAAGCTTTAGGCTGGGGCAGTCATTCTTAGTCATCAACATATCAAAAAAAAAATCTCCTCTGAAAAAGGGGGCTTTTCCCAGGCTGTGGAAGCTGGCATTTTGAAAGAATCTCCAAAAATAAAATATCCTCAAACAGGTTTCATTAAAAGGCATAGCTAGAACTTGGAACTCTGGGGAAATCTACTTTAACAATCCCTTGCTTGTAAGAAAGATCCTGGAAACAGCACAGGAGTTGATAGATCACAGCTGTTTTATAGAAAGGACAATATACCTTACCAACAATTACTTAAGAAAATCACGCTGTCAGCCAAGAACACTGACTTGCCCATACTTTGAGGCATATCTGGTAGACAGTGGTTTACCAGAATAGTCTGAGACAGAGTAGACAAACAGAAACTAAGCTCTTTATTGGAGGGAAGTGTAACTCTCAGTGTTGGGTAATCCAGGATTGGAATAAAATTTAGTAGGTGCCTTCCTGTTATTCAAAGGACTCCAAGAGGACTGGTGCTCCATAGTGGACCAGTCACACTCTTTTAATGGACATAGCAGATACACATCTTCTTGAGAATAGCCATTTTACTTACAACATTTAAGAAAATGTTAGGCAAATCAGAAGTACTTAAAATCAAACATCAGTTGCACAGAGGGAAGCTTTTACATGGGAATCTGAAATGGTTAAGAACAGCTCCTAATTTCAAGGGATTGGCTTTATTAAGACAGGAATTTTATCAAAATGGGAGACCAACTTTTCCCCTCTTCTCTTAAGCAGTCTGCACAGCTTCTTTTCTATAAGCTCTTATTTAGTCCCTTGCTCCTGATCTCTGATATTAGAGGAAACTTAAGTAAAAGCTTTGAAATGCCATTCATCTTTTCCTAATAGGAAGGAAAAAGTGATTATTCTTTAGAACACTGGCTTAGGTAAAACCAACCCTGAGATCCTAAGCAAGTTAGAAAAAAAATGAATCTTCGCCATTGCTCAAAAAACCAATTCCTTTCCTTAACTCTCACAATGCTACAAACTGGGCATTAGCTAAGGCTCTATAGCTTACCATCCACCTCCATCACTGGGCTTGCCAACATGCAACATCCTAGAATTGTGCACTTGGAACACAACTGCTGTTGCCACAAAGCACAAAAAATGTTTACTTACAACACACTTCCGGTAGGGGGTGGGACTGTTACTAACGTTGGTTACGAGCCTTCAAACTCAGAAATAACTCAAACCCCAAAAGGTTCTATAGTGCCCCCTTGTGTTCAACAGAGAAAGACTTCTGCATTCACACCGCAACTAAGCAGATCCCTTTCAAGCCAATTAGCCCAACTGACAACTCAGGTGGGTGTCATATCACCTAGAAAATGTATGGTGCACACTCATACCCTAAATGATTGCTGAGAGAACCCTCTAAGGTTCAGCAGACCTTAGATAGAAAATAAAAATCACAGCAAAGATTCAGGAAGGCTTTTAACCTGAGAATGAATATAGATGATCCACTCTTAACAATCTGTAGTGTCTCAATGACCTAAAGTCCTAGAACCACACTAACACAAATGAACCACGACCCCAACAGCTCTAGCCTGCTAAGTGCTAACAAACATTTAATGTTAACTAGCAGCATGTCTGAAAGGTCTCAAGACCATCTTCACTCCCACTTATAGATATTGACAATCTTCTCAGTTAAAGTAGCCAAGTAGCTGTTATGGTTCACCTCAAATGGACAGATGTCTAAGACAGGCTGATCAGCCTTCAGGTCCTGTAGCAATGAGCCACTGCCAGCATCCCACAGCTAAGGAAATAAGCAAAGAGAAAGGTCAGAGTCAGTAAGCTCAGCTGGGAAATAACTGTCCCTAACCTTCACAAGTTTGCACAAAGCACATCTGACAATACCTGCAGGTATGGCCTGCCTCATCTACTATGATCAGCAATTAAATCTACCTATGAGGGGTAGACTTATTGAAAAGCAAGCTTGAGACTCATTCCTTCCATTTATGTGCCAAGTAGTCTTCTAGGTACTGTCTCTTCTAAGGACAGTCGCTATCCCCTGTCCTCACGGAATCTGTACTCTAAATGATGCTTTCATTTCCTTTCTAAAAATTTTACTATGAAAAACATTTAAGTATCAAAAAGTAGACAAAATGGCACAAAGAGCCACACGTCATTGGATTCAATAATTAAGCTTTTATCACATTTGTTTTATCAATCCTATTTTGTCCTTTGCTGAGTACACTGTTTTACCCTTATATACTTAAATACACATCTCTAAAAAAAAGCCATTTTCTTACATTTCAGTGTCGTCGTATCCAACAAAATACACAATTCCATATTATTTAACACCTAATTGCATAACCAAAATATTCTCAGTGTGTTTTTACAATTGTTGAATCAGGATCCAAGTAAGGTCCATATTATACTTGGTAGTTATAAACTTTTTTTTTTTTTTTTTTTTGATAAGTGTTAGGGCTCACACCATGTATACTAGGCAAGTGCTCTATCACTGAGCTATACCCCCAGCCTGGTTATAAACTTTAACACATTTTCTTTCATCTAAAGCAAATCTAACCTTCTACTGACTTGTAGAAGCTGGACCAGCTAACCTATAGAATGTCTACAATCTGGATTTGTTTGCTTTTTGTGTTACCACTTAGTGTATTCCTCTAATTCCTGTAACTGTAATTAATGAAAATCAGCACTAGATTCTAGAATGGCACTATCCAATAGTCTCTTGCTCTCTTTTTTTTTTTTTTGGTGAGACTGGCTAGGACTTTCTCAATTATAAAGCAGGTGCTCTACCACTTGAGTTGAGGCATACTTCCAGTCCATTTTGCCCCAGTTACTGTGGAGCTAGGGTCTCAGGAACTATTTGCCCAGGCAGGTATTGAACTGTAACCCTCACAAACTTAGCCTCCCATGTAGCCAGGATTACAGGCATGAGCCACCAGTGGCTGGTTGTGTGTTTATCTTTATTATTTTGGATGACCTCTTGAGTCACACCTCCAGCCTCAGTCTATCTTTAAATTAATAAGAATAAAAATAAAATAAAAAATTGAGTTGTTTATTTTCACTAACCACAGTTCAAATGCTCAAGTGGCTAGTGTGACTTATTTGGACAGCATCGCTCAGACTTGCTTCGCCAGGATCAAGAATATCTCACAGGAGGCACCCTGTGCTTCACATTAGCTTACAAAGAGCTGAATTTATTTGGGCTAACCCATTACAGTGATGTTAAGATTGACCTATACATGCAGGTGGTGACAGGCTAAAATTCCCCTTCATCTGTTGGTTTCATCCTGAATTGATGAAGCTAATGTGTGAATTAATTATTTTATAGATTTTTTTTTTTTTTAGTACTGGGGTTTGAACTCAGGGCCTTGTGCTTACAAGGCAGGTGCTCTACCACTTGAGCAATGCCCTCAGATCTATTTTGTAGATATTTGAGTATACCTTTAAAAAAAAAAAAAAATCCATGGAGTTGGGCATAGTTCAGTGGTACAGCATTTGCCTAGCATATGAAAGACCCTGTGTTCACCACAAAGAAAAAAAAGAAACAAAAACCCCAAAATTAAATTTAAAAAAACTCCAAAAATTACATATATACACATATAAAAATAGGTGGGATTTTAGCTTTGCTTTATGTACTTCTGTATAAAAATGGTCAAGGTTTCCTTTATTTATTTTGCAGTGCTGGGATTGAACAGTATCTCACAGGTTAGGAAAGTACTCTATCACTGAACCATACCCTCAGCCCCCAGACAAAAAAACAGTCTTACCATGGCAGAATTTGTTGCTTCATCCCCAGTACACACCAGGATGCTGCCATCATTCTCTGGACTTTGGAAAATGGCATTTTTGGTCAATAGTTTGCAGGTGGGTCCCCCAAGGAATGTTTGCACAGGATGGCAGGTACAGACAGGGTTTCTAGCATCATCCAATTTATAGGACATCTCCATCAGCACACTTCGTACGGTGTTGTGGTTTTTATCTATGGCATAGAGAAATTAGTGCTGCCCCACTGGATGGTCCAAAAGAAATTAACCAAGTACCTGAACCTCAGATATAACATAATTGGATAGCAACCACAAGAACAGCTATGACAGAAACAAAGTAACACAGACAGCATAAGTGAAATTCAGAACCATGGGCAAGGATAAAGCAAGTTATCTACAATAGGTTTTGTCTACAAGAGAAACAATTCTGAGAACACACTCTCTGGTTTAGTAAAAAATCTCTATCCTGGTAGACCTGGTAGACTTATCTGTCATGAGATCTCACTAAGAGGGGTTTTTTTCCTTCCTCCAGTGATGACCTCATTAGCACCAGGACTGTGTATTTTTATAAGGTAAAAACATGGTATTACAGAAGGAGAAGTGTACCTAAGGTTTGGATGGGAGGCAAAACAAAAGCTGGAGAATAAAATGGAATCCTCAAGCTTTCTATACAAATCATACCATGATTTGCTAAGGTCAGAAGAATCAACTTGAGACAGTTTCCTAAGTCAAACAAAATTTCATCTACTCTTAAGTAGCAAAAGTGTAGGCATTTTAATGACTGACCCTGACCGAACATCTAATTGTTATACGTTTGATTAATATAGATGCTGTCTCAGCACCCATTTTTAGGCCTGACCTAAGTTTGAAAGCCAGTTGTACACTGACACCTTTGACTTAGTTAAAACTTCCCTCCCTGAAAGGTTGTCTTTAACACAGCCCACTTGTTCCCAATCTCACTGATCCAAATCCGAACAGATCTCCAAACTGATGACCACAATAAAACCCAAATGGTTGCCACCAGTCATATAAATAAGTTCTTCTCTTCACAAATGTTTTATTTAAACCAGTCAATCCACTCTCTTTCCCAGAAGGAAAGTCTAAGGGATAACGCTCATGTATCTGAATGAGAACAGTCCCACAGGACCTTCTTTCTTGCTTTCCACCTGCTGGCTGAGCATGCGTATCCCAGATGGCTCCTCCTTGTTCCCAATGGCCCTGCAAGGCACGCTGCCCTCTTCTCTCTGGAACTGTAATAAACTGCTTGTGTTATTTCATGAGTTTTGTTGTGTTGCCTCCTCTCTATCTCACCTAAATCTATCTTCTGTTTTGGTTGGCCAAGAGGGCAGCTATCTTGGCAGGAATAAACCCAACTCAGGTAAGATAAAAGCTACAAAGGCACATGCCAGTACAAACATATTTCCTGTGAGGGGTATACCTGGTCACAGGTCAGGATAAAGTATCCCATGAAAGGGACATTGTAAGCAACCATAACTAAATATCAAAGCCCCATCAGGACAGAGCTAGCTATTTTCTTGAAAGACCTCAAGACTTAAAGGGGAAAAAAAAACAAACCAAAACAAAAAAACCCTACAATACTGACCATCAATCAGTATGGTTCATTAGGAATTTAGATTCATGCCTTTAAACTCTGTGAATTTAAGAATAGTCAGATGTCAGGGGTACCCAGGTTCTGGAGCCAGTGAAGTTTAGCTGGCTAGGCCACAACCATGGCTATCAGTCTTCTCTTACTTACCTTTGTTGGCCCCAAATAAGGAAGAACAGCTAATACCCTAAAGTCTGGCCAAACAGAAAACATGAAACTGATCTGAAGGTTGCTGAATGGCTTCTAAGAGAATACATTACAGTTTTAAGATACAGGTATTTTTAAGAACTAGCCACTAGAGTGGCTACTTCACATCTAGAAGTACTCAGAATTTGTTGTAGTTCTCACAAAGAGCAGAGAGGCAGGCAACATGGAGGAACTGGGAGCCATAATCCTCACTGCAGCAGTAAGAGCTGTAGCATAGCCTGTTAAGGGCTTACTACAAAGGGGACTAAGGTAGAAAGAAGAAAAATAGAGGGGTAAACCAATTCGGATTATAATCCATATATACAGGGAAATGTCACAATGAAACTCCCTGTGGAGTTATCTTAAATAAATGAAATGTCTTTTTTCAAAAACAGAAAACAGGAAGGTAAAAAGGTCCTGTCTGGGGGCTGGCACCAGTAAGAGGGGGGAGGTTATAAAGAAAGGGTGTAGGAAAGTGAATATGTGGAAATACTATGCACTCATGTATGAAAATGGAAAACTGAGGGCTGGTGGAGCAGTTCAAGCAGTAGTAAGACCGCCTGCTTAGCAAGCACGAGGCCCTGAGTTCAAACCCCAGTGCCGCCAAAAAAGGAGGAAGAAAGAAAGGAAGATAAAAGAAAGGAAGAAAGAAAAGGAAAGGAAGGGGAAGGGGAAAGGAACGGAAGGGAAAAATGGAGGGGGTGAACTAAATTATGGTATATTTTAAGAATTTTTGTTAATGATACAATGTACTCCCAGTACAACAAAAATAAAAAACAAAAATAAAACAGAACACCACCCACCATGAGCCCATGTTCTACGCAAGGCCGCAAAAGGCTTGGATGTCACAGGTTCTGTGAGAATCACACTGGCATCATTATCTAGAGGTGCTTCCCCTTGTGTCCATACTGTCCTTTGTCTCAAATCAAAGGTGTTTGTGTGAACTAAAAAAAAGGCTTACTGCAGCCACCAAGAGGAGGGTCTAGCTCTTTTCTCCCCTCTACTATCTGCTCCCAAACAAACTAGGAGGCCCCAGAGGACTCCAGCACTTACCAGGCCTATAGCTCACAAGACAGTGTCGAGTACTGCTCTCTGTCTGAAAGTCTACATAGCCCCCTGGTTCCAAAGGTAGCACATGAGGCCAGTGAGAAAAATCCACTTTCAGCTCCCAGAAGGATGCATTCTCTAAGGTACCAGCCAGCACCCCACCGTGTGGAAATGCAGCTGAGGCAGCTCTGGGCATGTAGGACAGGGATACCAGTGGGCATCTGAAGAGAAAGAAAGGAAATCACACATCACACTCCAAACTCAACACTTGGAGTGCTCCAGATTTCACAAGCAGGAGCCCTGGACTACATTCCTATGCCTACAGAAAAGGTTCAACACCTGTTAGTATTCTCTGACAACTTACAGAAACTATTAACCCATTCTATAGGGAAAAAAGGGCATACATATAATATTCTGCATCTAATTTCAACAGAGACACCAGATGCTCTAAAAGAAATGAGGGTAGAGGAAGAGAAAAAAAAGAAACACAAAACCTCAGTGGGGTGAAGGTAGCTCACACCTGTCATTTTAGCTACTAAGGAGAAAGATCAGGAGGGATCATAGTTCAAAGCCAGCCCTGGGCAAATAGTTCTCCAGACCCTATCTCCAAAAGTCCACTACAAAAAAAGGCTGGTGGAGTGTCCCAAGTGGTTAAGAGCTTCTGCCTAGCAAGCATGAGGCCCTGAGTTCAAACCCCTGTGCTGCCAAAAACCAAACAAAAACCCAAACTCTAGTTAATAAAAATGCAGCCCAAAGCTACTATTTTATTTTTTTTCTTCATACTAGTGTTTGAACTCAGGGATTTGTGCTTGCTAGGAGCTCTACTGCTTGAGCCATGTCTCCTTTTTGGACTGCTTATTGTTTTGGAGACAGGGTCTTGCATTTTGGCTAGGCTAGCCTGAACTGCAATCCTTCTGTTTACACTTCTCACTGTCCTGGGATAATAGATAGGAACCATCATGCCCAGCTTTTATCCACTGAGATGGGGTCTTGCAAACATTTTTGCCCCAGCTGGCCTGAACCCACAATCTTCCTGATTTCATTCTCCTACATAGCTTGGGATGACAGGTGTGTACCACAGGGCACAACTATTGTTTGTAATGGGATCTCACTAACTTTTGCCTGGATTGGCCTCAAACTGCAATCCTCTGATCTGAGCCTCCCAAGTAGCTAGGGTTATAGGTGTGAGTCACCAGTGCCCAGCCAGCAACTACATTTTAAATTCAGAAATAGGATTTTTTTCTTCAGATTTTCTGAATTTCTTTCTGAAAGCTCATGACCAGAACTGTAGGGCAAGAATCTTCCCAGAAACATCAGCCTGAAGACTATGTTCCTCTGAAGCTGATTGTACCTAAGTTGCCAAAGTGACCATTTCCTTTTATTTCATTTTTCCTTCTCATAATGAAGCTACCCAGGTAAACTAAATAAAGAACAAACAAAACACACAGTCTTTCCTTGCTTTATTTATTTAATTAATTAAAGAGATGGGAATGTTGCTATGTTGCCCAGGTTGGTCTCAAACTCTTAGGCTCAAGTAATCCTGTCTCAGTCTCATGAGTTGCTAAAACTACAAGCACGTGCCACCATGCCTGGACCTTGCTATTTTTAAGCTTGTTGTATTTTATGGACTATTTTACATGGGACCCTCTGCATCAATGGCAGCTACCTGTTGGCTTCGGTTCACATCAATCATCTTCACGCTCATCACTGAAGCATGTAGTAATTCAGTAAATTACTGGGCCAGGAGTGGTGGTACATGCCAAAAATCTAACTCTTGGGAGGCTGAGGAGGACTGTGAATTCAAAGCCAGCCTGGACTACATAGTGAAACCTTGTCTCTTAAAAACAAAATAAGCATGCCTATAATTCTAGCTACTCAGGAGATGAAGACAGGAGGATCATGGTTTGAGGGTAGCCTAGGCAAAAAAGTCAGCAAGACCCTATCTCAAAAATAAGCCAGGTGTGGTGGTGTATACCTGTGGTTTCCCGGCTACTAAGGAGGCAAAGGTAGATGTACAGTCCAAGGCCAACCTGTGCAAAGTGGGAGACCCTAGCTGAAAAATCACAAAAAGTAAAAGGACTGGGGGTGTAGCTCGAGTGTTAAGAGCGCTTGCACAGAAGCCAAGTCCAGTGCTTGGGGGAGGGAAGAGGAAACTTACTGCATAACAAGTTTATGTTGAGATTGTCCTGCTCCTTTTTATATCTATTGAAAGTGGAAATGGGAATTCTCTCTTAAGGTATTCTTCACTTAGGGCTGGGGATGAAGATAGCCTAGTCTGGGTTCTATCCCCAACACCAGAATTAAAACAAGAGATACTTATTTTGGCCAAGTTACATACCCTATACCCCTTTTGAGAATTTTATATCTCCAGGACAGTCTACATGATATTCAAAGCATTCTTAGGAGCCTCCACTTCCTCTTTTTTTGTGATGGGTTTTTTTCAAAGGTCTCACAAACCATTTGCCTGGGCTGGCTTCAAACTATAATCCTCCTCATCTCTGCTTCCTAAGTAGCTAGGATTATAGGCGTGAGCCACTGGTGCCCAGCTTCTTCAGAGCCTTAGTGGTGCTGCCACCCTCAGAACTTGGGCAAACTTGACAACATTCTAAACCCATAACTAGATAATACATGATAAATCATAGTAACACAGTATCCTCAGACTAAGGTGTTTTAACTTTAGATTAAGTGAAGTCACTTTAAGTAGACTATCCTTTATCAATCTGTTTTGTGTGCTAGCTATGAAACCAAGTCTATGAGAACTGTATTTAAAAGGTCAAGAAACATCAAGGAAAGTCACACAGCTCATAAGTAGTGGAGCTGTGTTTGAAAACAGACCTCACATTATTTGCATTTGGGTGATTACTGATTCTATGAACCTGGCTGTACTTGGTACCAGAGCTTTCCACCATGTGAAATAAACACAAATTCTACTGATTCTGAGGTGAGTAAGCATCAAATCTTAGAGAACTGTCTTCTAAGAGTACTGCTAACCAACTGTAGATACCCTTTGAGGAGAGGACTATACAAACAATAAAATAAACCATCTGCAAGAAAGCTACTACCAACAGAAAAAAAAGTGGGTGGCTTCCTACCTGGCTTTCTGAGGTACTAACTCCTGCATATGACAGCTTGTGTTTCGTAGGTCATACACCAGAATTGAACCATTGGCCAGTCCAGCATAGACATAATTGTTTTCATCAAGACACCAGCAACAGCTCCAGACAGGACGTCCAGTATTGTAAGTTTGGACCACAGTATTTGTCTCTAGACTGTAGAGTTACAAGAGAGATGTTTATTACTATACATTAAGAAAATCATGACAAAGAAACAAAGATTATCAATTGAAGGATAAAATCAATAATCCTTTTTGAGAGCATATACACAAACCCAAACTATGTTGATTTCCAATTTCCTCTAGAAACTGTCCAGATAACCCCTTTCATTCCCCAAACTTTTGTTTTAGGGTCCACAAGCCTTCCTCTTGAGTTACAAAGTAAGTAAAAAGATAAATTAAAGGAACATATGAACAGTATATTCCACTCTACTCCTATTACCTTCTCCATAGTTAAATGTGATACAAGTAATCAGTATAGGAAAATCAGGAAATACATATAAGGAGAAGTAAATAAATTATAATCCAACCATCCAGGAGAGATCATTATCCACACTTAGTATGTTTCTTCCCTGTTTTAAACAACACTTACACACTGAAGTTTTTCCAGAAGCATTCTGTTTTTTATTTTTTGTTTTTGTAGTACTGGGGATTGAACTCATGCTTGCTAGGCAGGCACTCTACCACTTAAGCCACTCCTCAACGCCTTTTTTGTATTGGATACTTTTCAGATAAGGTCTTGCAAACTATTTGCTTTGAAGTGCAATCCTCCTGATCTCTGCCTCCCCCAGTAGCTAGGATTACAGTTGTGACCCGCCAACCTGTGCCCAGTTTATTATTTTTATTTAAATGGTGCTAGGGACTGAACCCAGGGTGTCATTCTTGTTAGGCAAGGGCTCTACCACTGAGATATACCCCCAGCCTTGAAACACTCTTAAAAAGTCAAAAGGCTTATCCACCCTAATTGCACTATCAGGATGTTGCTCATACTCCGAAGTGGAAACTTAATAGGAAATCAGCTCTCACACATTTGATCAGAACAATTTTCTAAAAGATAAAAGCAAGGCCAACATGCAGATTTGGTTCAAAGTACCAACACAGCATGTAAAATATAAAATGCTGTTAAGTGATTAAAGTTATCTTGGCACCCAGAGAGAGCTAAGGCCCAGTGAGAATCTCTGATGGGCAGAATTATCTAAGAAACGGATCTGGAATAAGCAGTCCTAAACTGTTATGGTAACTCTGTAGTGTTAGGCACCAAGGATCCTTTATATTATCATTCCAAAAAATCTCTAGACTATTACTCTTAATCACAAACTTTAACAAATGTTTTGTAAAATATGACTTTAAAGAAAAGGACACTACACATACAGTTTAGTAACCAGATATGCTCACATTTTAAAGGAATGCATTTTAAGTAAATCTCAGAAGACAATGCCTCAGACCAACAGGCGTGCTAAGGACATCTCAACACTGACATTAATTCAATAAGGCCCCATTTTCTCTTGACTCACTCACCTGGTCAGTTTAACAGTGTTGTCTAGGGAGGCAGATAGCAGCAAGCCTTTGGATCGGCTGCTGAAAGCCAGTCCACGGATCTGTTTGCTATGCATCGGAATGTACTGACTGCTTTTCATATTGGCAGTACTCAACATCTTAACACCAAAGCCTACCAAAGAGTTAAAATAGTTAACTGAAAGTCAATTTAGGGCAAAAGCAAACTACCTTTTTAGTTGACTTTTTTGCTCATCTTTCTTGGCATGTTAAGTTCCAGGGAAACAACTTGTCAAAGAAGGAATTCTTAAGTGCTATAATTTACTTAAAAAAGGGCACAATCCATTCCAAATGTCCATCAACAGATAAATGATGCACACAAAAAATACTGTCCAGTAACAGTATTAACAGTGTAAAACAGTACTGTTTTACACAAAAACATGGATGAATCTTAAAAAAAAAAAAACTGCTGAAAGTCACAAGAAAAAAATGCAAAGTAGTCTACAGTGACAAAAAGCATTATCAGTAGTTGCTTAGGGAGAGGATTATTAAAAAGAAAACTTTGGGGAGAATAGGTATATTTATTACTCCTTTTTAAAAAAAAAAATTTCCCCTTCCCCCCAAATGTTCATTACATCTCAATCTCAGTAATGGTTTCAGGGGTGTACACACATGTTGAAACTCACCAAATACACTTTAAATAGGTACAACTTATTTTATGTCAATTATAGTTCAAATAAACTGTTGAAACCGAGGTATTGAGAATATTACACCTGAAACACAGATATTAAAAATGCAGGTGGGATATTTGAGTAGTAAACAATGCAGGTAAGACTCGCACCTGTAATCCTAACTACTTGGGAGGCTGACATCAGGAGGATCATAGTTAGAGGCTAGTCTGAGCAGTTTGTGGGATACCATCTCTAAAAATAACCAGAGCAAAAGGGACTGGAGGGGTGGCTGAAGCAGGAGAAGGCCTGCTTTGCAACCAGGAGGCACTGCGCTCAAACCCCAGTCCTACCAAAAAGAAAGGAGGTAAGTAATTTCTATGTCTGGTGGTTAAGACATGTTATATCTGGCCTAGAGCCAGTGGCTCATGCCTGTAATCCTAGTTACTCATGAGGGAGAGATCAGGAGGATCATGGTTCAATGCCAGTTCCTATCTTGAAAAAAAACCCATCACAAAACAAGGGCTGATAAAGTAGCTCAAGTGGTAAGAGCACCTGCCTAACAAGCAGGAGGCCCTGGCCCTGAGTTCAAACCCCAGTACAAAAAAAGATATGCTACATCAGCCTAAAATACAATGAAACAGATGGCACTTCAAGTATTCAGTCAGTGCCCCTACTAGGCTATGATAACTTATTTTTACTAAATATCTTGTATTGCCTGAATTATATAAAAAAAAATAGAAATTTGTAGAATCCTACATTCAAGATAGCAATACTCAATCAAAAAGAATGAAACAGTGCTGCGAGTATTACTACCCGACTCAAACTATATTACAAGCAAACAATAAAAACAGCATGGTACTGGCACAAAAACAGACAAGACCAGTGGAACAGAATAGAGGACCCAGATATGAAGCCACACAACTATAACCAACTTGTCTTTGACAAAGGGCTAAAAATATACGATGGAGAAAAGACAGCCTTTCAAAAAAAACTGCTGGGAAAACTGGTTAGCAGTCTGCAAAAAAACTGAAACTAGATCCATGTATATCACCCTATACCAAGATTAACTCAAAATGGATCAAGGATCTTAATATCAGACCACAAACTCTAAAGTTGATACAGGAAAGAGTAGGAAATACTCTGGAATTAGTAGGTATAGGTAAGAACTTTCTCAATGGAAACCCCAGCAGCACAGCAACTAAGAGATAGCATAGATAAATGGACTTCATAAAACTAAAAAGCTTCTGCTCAACAAAAAAAATGGTCTCTAAACTGAAAGAACACCCACAGAGTGGGAGAAAATATTTGCCAGCTACACATCAGACAAAGGACTGATAACCAGAATATATAGGGAACTTAAAAAACTAAATTCTCCCAAAACTAATGAACAATAAAGAAATGGGCAAGTGAACTAAACAGAACTTTCTCAAAAGAAGAAATTCAAATGGCCAAAAAACACATGAAAAAATGCTCACCATCTCTAGCAATAAAGGAAATGCAAATTAAAACCACACTAAGATTCCACTCACCCCTGTTAGAATAGCCATCATTAGCAACACCACCACAACAGGTGTTGGCGAGGATGCGGGGAAAAAGGAACCCTCTTACACTGTTGGTGGGAATGTAAACTAGTACAACCACTCTGGAAAAAAATTTGGAGGCTACTTAAAAAGCTAACATTGATCTACCATTTGATCCAGCAATACCACTCTTGGAGATATACCCAAAAGACTGTGACACAGGTTACTCCAGAGGCACCTGCACACCCATGTTTATCGCGGCACTATTCCACAATAGCCAAGATATGGAAACAGCCAAGATGCCCCACTACTGACGAATGGATTAAGAAAATGTGGTATATACACAATGGAATTTTAGGCAGCCATGAAGAAGAATGAAATGTTATCATTCGCTGGTAAATGGATGGAATTGGAGAACATCATTCTGAGTGAGGTTAGCCTGGCCCAAAAGACCAAAAATCGTATGTTCTCCCTCATATGGGACATTAGATCAAGGGCAACACAACAAGGGATTGGACTTTGATCACATGATAAAAGCGAGAGCACACAAGGGAGATATGAGGATAGGTAAGACACCTAAAAAAACTAGATAGCATTTGTTGCCCTCAATGCAGAGAAACTAAAGCAGATACCTTAAAAGCAACTGAGGCCAATAGGACAAGGGGACCAGGAACTAGAGAAAAGGTTAGATCAAGAAGAATTAACCTAGAAGGTAACACACATGCACAGGAAATCAATGTGAGTCAACTCCCTGTATAGCTATCCTTATCTCAACTAGCAAAAACCCTTGGTCCTTCCTATTATTGCCTATACTCCCTCTACAACAAAAGTAGAGATAAGGGCAAAATAGTTTCTGTCAGGTAGCGAGGGGGTGGGGGAATGAGGGAGGGGGCGGGGTGGGGGTAAGGGAGGGGGAAGAAGTGACCTAAACATTGTATGCACATATGAATAAAAAAAAAAAAAAAAAAATAATTTGGACAACAAAATAAATGGAGTATTGGATCATATCTCAAAGAATAAAATATTTACTGAAATAAGTAAATATTTGAATAAACAAATAGATGGAGGAATTCAAGATAAATTATGTAGTCATTCCAGCTGTGCATAGTTCATTTTTTTCCAGAGTGTTCAATAATGTAAGAATAACTTTATGGTGAAGAAACCCGATGAACAGGTAATCAAGGTCAACACTAATGGTGTAACTGACAGGTGATAAGTTATAGTCACATGTTTGCAGTATGTACCTTTGGTAAAATATGGTGAGAACGGCATTTGCCTCTGAAGTATTCCTCTCCATACTCACAACACCAATCTAATCATCAGAAAAACATCAGAGAGACCCCAATGGAAGAACTCCTACAAAACACCTAACCAGGCCAAAACTGCCTCAGTGATCAAAAGCATGAAAAGTCTGAGAAACTGTCTCTGCCAAGAGGAGCCTAAGCAGAGATGACAACTAAATGTAATATGGTAACTTAAAATAGAAAAGGAATACTGAATAAAAACTAAGAAAATGTGAATTAAGTATAACTCCAGTTATAGTAAAATATTAATATTGGTCCATCAATTGTGACAGACTAATATATGATGTCAGTAATAGAGAAACTGGGTATGGGAGTGTATATGGGAACTCTCTGTATAGGTTTCACAATATTTCTGTAAATCTAAAGTTGTTCTGAATATTAAAATTTATTAAAATGAAAAAAGACAATGAAACAGATGGCACCTCAAGTATTCAGTCAGTGCCCCTACTAGGCTATGGTAACTTATTTTTACTAAGTATCTTTTATTGCCTGAATTATATAAAAAAAAAAAATCAGAATTTGTAGAATCCTACATTCAAGATAGCCTTGAACCACATTTCAGTTTATTCAGACAGATAAATGGGATAAAGTTTATTGGATTTTTTTTCTTTTTTAAATTTTTTTTGGGGGAGGGGCAGTACTGAGGATTGAACCCAAGGCCAAATGCTAGGCAAGCACCACTTGATCCATGCCCTAGTCCAAGTCTATTTCTTTTCCTGAAAGAGAATTAGGAGAGCCCAGGGAGAAATACAGGCTTTAAAATCATTAATGCCTAATTCATCACTAGAGAGAATAAGGACAAATTAGCATTTGCAGGTTATCAAGCACAATTAGTTGTGTAGACTAGAATAGACATGTTAAGAAAAAACAAAGCTGAGACCAGAGTCACATCCTAACACAGCACTTGTTTTAGGGAGAACCTGATGGTCTTGGTTCACTGGAAAAAGCAGTCAGCACCTGTTAGTGCCCAGATAAGAAATATGTCCACCTGGATCCTAGAATGATTGGATGGGCAGGCCTCTTTCCTCATGCCCTTTAGGAAGTTAGTACCTGCTGAGGTGTATATCCCTTTCTCTCCGAAGGCTACTACAAAGTTCTACAGAAGGGAAAGATCACTAAGCAGCTTTCACTGTGAAGGTCAAATTCTTCAGAAGAGCTGAGAAGATTAAGGGTATTGGGGATGCCTGTGCTCTGGTGGACTGAAGTCACAAAAAGGATGGTTCATTAAAAGCTAACAAATTTAAAAAGGAAAAAAGAAAGAAAAAGCTGGGCATGGTGGCGCATGTCTGTAATCTCAGCACTCAAGAGGTTGAGGCAGGAGGATCCTGAGTTTAAGGCCAACATGGGCTACCTAGTGAGATTTTCTCTCAAAAAAACAAAAAAGCAAAAAGGAATAGAATGTGTACCCAATTAGTGGAACAACAGAAGGTAAGGTTTTATTTAATGATAAATCTTTTTATTAAAACCTTGCAAGCCTGAGGTCAAGACCAAATCCCCATGCTGCCAAAAGATAAACAAACAAAAACCACATAAAAACTTGGCACATAGAAGTAAAAGGATTGAGGTTTGAGGGCATCCCCAGCCAAAAATTTCATGAGACCCTTTCTCAAAGAGCAAATCAGGCCTGTTGGTTCATATGGGCAATCCCAGTTACTTGGGAGGAGGACATAGGAGGATCATGGTCTGAGGCCTGCCGGAGCATAAGCTGCAAGAACCTATCTGAATAACTGAATAACTGAATAACTGAAGCAAAAAGGTCTGAGATGTGGCTTAAGTGGTAGAGTGCTTGCCTAACAAGCACAAGGCCCTGAGTTCAAACACCTGTACCACCAAAAACAAATCTTGTATGGGATACAGGAACATTATAAATAATCCTTGTACTTTCTGCTCTGGATAACCTCTCAACTTATATCATCACTAAATAAAAAAAAATACAGGACAGTCAGGTGCTGGTGGCTCACGCCTGTCATCCTAGCTACTCAGGAGGCAGAGATCAAGAGGATCAAGATTCAAAGCCAGCCCCAACAAATAGTTCTCAAGACCGTATCTAAAAAAAACCATCACAAAAAAGGGCTGGTGGCGTGGCTCAAATTGTAGGTCCTGAGTTTTATCCCCAGTATGGCAAAACAAACAAACAAACAAACAAACAAAAAATCCAGGACAATCTAGGAATTTCACCCCCAAACCTGTACAAACATAAGTTTGGGGGACATATTTTTAAAGCACTTGAATGGAACTCATTTGAGAAAACAAAGGAAATGAAGCTAAAGTAAAGGAACCTCACAGTTGGCAGAAATTACATGCCAAAGGTAGAAAGATCTAGGACTGGAGGTGTGGCTCAAATGATAGAGACCTTGCTTTGAAAGTGCAAACAACTGAGTTCAAACCCCAGTTCCACCAAAACAAACAAACAAACAAACAAAAACAAATAAACAAAAAACCTGCAACATTTAGGAATGATTTTTAGACAGGTGAGGACATTTGGTTTTCAACAAGATAACCTACAATTAAGCAGGAGGATCATGAGTTTGAGGTTAGTGCGGACTACATATAGCCAAGACCATGTTGGGGGGAGGGAGGGGGGACTTGTATGACATTAATAAAAATAATCAATGTAGTCTTAGAATTTGGCAATTTGAATACTACTAAAAACAAGTACTAAATATTACTGCAACTTGAATTAGCCCTCAGCATAGTGTTTTGTCAAGCATTTCAAGCCTAAAATCAATCTATAAGGTAAGCGGGACATATAGAACTATACTAATGACCCACACACCCATGTACTTCCTTTTTCTCTCATATTACCAAAGTTATCAGTATTTCTATCCTCTTGGTGAACAAAGTTACTGAATGAAGGCAATAGATAAGACACCTCTGAAGTACCCTAAAGTACTCGTACTAATAGGGAACTGACAGAAAAAGATGATTTGGTGAACTGTGGTCAGTGTTTATGTACACTGAGTCCTAGATTCCTCGACTAGATTCCTCGAAAAGAGGAGAAGAGAAATAAAAAAGAGTCCAAGAATGAACACAGAAGCTAAATTGTTTACCTGGAAGGAAGGAAGCCTGAGGAGAAGGCTGTGATACCACCAGGCAGCTCATATCATCACAATATGCCATGATTCGGCAATTTCCTGTCTGAGACACTGTGAAGGTCTTTTGGAAGTGGTATTTATGCTGCTTCTGACTGGAGGGCAGGCAGTTTAAGAAATGTACATGGGGGCACCTAGAGCGCTGTAAAACCTGATCCCGATGCTGTACAATAAGTTTTTGCAAGTCCTAAAGCAAAAAAGATTTTGTAAATGCAAAGCTTCTTCATTTGATACTCCCTTTAAGAATACATTCTTAATCTAGAATTCTTGTCTATTACATGAACATATAACTGCAAATCCTAAAGAAATGAGTTTTTACAGTACTTCAACAAGCCACTGAAAAAAGGAAAACATATATCAAGTATTGGGGTTGAACCTCTTAATGGTCTGAAGCCCTGAAGTAAAATGACTTAAGTAAGCTTAGCATTCTCAGCTGGCTGTTTAATTTTTTTCTAAAATTCTCATTGTGGCAGAATTCATCATAAAGTACGTATGTTTTGGATAAATGCCCTAATCATAAAGGAAATGTTGGTTATGTTAACTTGTGAAACAACATGGCAAATCTTAATTGTATCTAAAATAAATCTAAGTAATATTTAAATCCCTCTTAAATCATCCTCCTTTTTAATTGTGATTCCAAAAGTTCTTTGAATAAGAAAGGATAAACTCACCTGGACACGGCTATGAAGTTTAGTGCATTCATCAGTGAGGACCTGAAGTTGGAGGCGGCACTGTGCAGATTCTAACTCTGCCTTCTTCCTGAGTGTTTGCTCCTTTAGTAAGTCACTAGAAGGGGAAAGTCAGCAACAGGTGGGGATTAGGAAGGCTACCGAAGACTTCACATCAAAATACCCAAAACACACACACACACACACACACACAAAGGGATGGCAGAGTAGCTCAAGTGGTAGCAGGCCTGCCTAGCAAATGTGAGGCCCTGAATGCAAACCCCAGTGCCACCAAAAAAAAAAAAAACTGGCATTACTATGATATGTACTGTATTTCACATACTTTGCTGTAAATGTCCTGACAGTGGATAAAATACAAAAAGAGAAAAATCTCTCCAATACAGAAACACTAAAGGAGGGTAGCATGCAGGGCTGAACTAATAAGCTTACCTGGGTTTTGATATTAAAGCAAACAATGACTAGGAATTTGACTCCTACTAGGGAATGGGGACTAAAAAAAACACCAAGGAAAAATGAGGGAACAGAGCCAACTCACTGCTTGAGTTAAGACAAATTCTAAGAGATTATGTGTTAAAAGACCAAGATTATCTGGTGGATTAAAAGAAAATAATAGAACCAGAGCTGTGGCTCGAGTGGCAGAGTGCCTGCTTTGTGAGCTTGAGGCCCTGAGTTCAAAACCCAATCTCACCAAAAAACGTTGGCTATTCATGAGATACCCAAATTAATAGAACAAAAAAAGAGATACTAAGCAAAGGTAATAAAAGACCAATGAGAATAAGGTAAAAAACTATGAAGAGGGTTGAGGACGTGGCTTAACTGGTAGAGCACCTGCCTAGCAAATAAAATCCTGAATTCAAACCCCAACACAGCCCAAATTTAAAAAAATAAAAGAAAAAGAAAAGCATGAATAGACGTAAAGAGGAACAATGTACGGTAAAAGAACAAACAAGAATGGAAGAATAGAATTCCACTTCAGTGAAATGGGAAATTCAAAAGAACCCACACAACAAAGTTGATGAACTCAAGACCAAGTAAATCAGATGAGCTGGGTGTGGTGGTGTATGCTCCAAATCCCAGCAACTCAAGGAGGCTGAGACAAGATTTCTTGAACGTCTGGACTGAGCAACATATTGAGAACCCCCATCTCAAAGAAAATTTTTTAAAGCAATGGTTAATTCTAACTTGCAATATTAGAGAAGAGTCAACAGATCATAAAACAAACAAACAAAAAACAATCCACAAGTGGAAACGTGATTTTTTTTTTTTTTTTGGTAGGACTGGACACTGAATTCAGAGACCCGCCTACAAAGCAGGCTCTCTATGCTTGAGACACACCTCCAGCCCTGACACTTGATTTAACATACAGGTGGCAATGCAAATTTGTGTAGAAAGTAGATACTATTTAGAAAATACCTTCCGATTATTCATAAAACTAGATTTAAGATAGTTAAGAGTCAGTCTGACAAGCAAAACTTTAAAGACCTTTAGACGACATGCCTTTATGATCTTAAAGGAGTAGCACAAAAAAAGCATAAGGAATACATATATTTGCATCAAAATAAAAAAACTCATGTTCAACAAGATACTATACACAAGTTAAAGAGACAACTACACCCACTGGGAGACAATACCTGCAATGTACACAACTGACAAAAATAGTAGTTTCCTTAACATAAAGAACTCCTAGCCAGGCCCTGGTAGCCTGATAAAATGGGTTCTATTTTTAAGTTTCCACTTAACTGTCATTTAATTTTTTTTTTTCACTTTTCCTAAGGAAACTAGCAAACACACTGATCTCAATGAATTGTTTTTAAATTTAAATCATTCATTAACAGCCATGCCTACTGCCAAAAAAAAAAAGTCCACAGATTTTGCGTTTTGGAAGTGCTGGGGATCAAATCCAGACCCTTATGCATGCTAAGCAAGTGCTATACCACTGAGCAACAATCCCAGCCTGATTTTGTCTTTTGAAGACAAACAAGTCTTTTATTTATTTTTATTTTTTGGAGACAAGATCTCCCTACATAGCTTAGGCTGGCCTCAAACTTGTGATCTGTCTCTGCCCCCCAAGTGCTGGGATTATAGGCATGAACTACCATCTTTTCTGTTCTTAAAGTATATTAAGTAATGCTATTAGCAATCATTCAGGGCTTGCAAAATCCTGATTTGTTTTTGTTGTTGTTGTACTGCATGCGCAATCTTCACTTACTATTGTATGGAGGCTCAGGGACATGAAAAGTAAAAATAACAAGTAATGTGACAGATCCTTTTTTATTTTTGAGATGGGTCTTTGTTATGTGAACTGTGGCACAAGCAATCCTCCTGCCTCAGCCTCCCCAAGTACCTGGGACTATAGGAGTATACCAGTGTCCAGCTTCAGATTCTCATTTTAAAAAGAAAGATTTTTTTGCAGTTGCAGTAGGGAATAGTAACCAGGGTCTCACACATACTAGACAGTGCTCTACCACTAAGTTTAGTCCTCAGCCCTAGATATTATTGTTAATGCTTCATGGACAGCAAACAACATAGACTCCCTATAGACAATTAGGTGGGGGGCTTGGGGGCGTGGCTTAGTGGTAGAGTGCCTGCCTAGTAAGTACAAAGCCCTGAGTTCAAACTCCAGTACCACCAAAAAAAAAAAAAAAAGACAATTAGGTGTATGCTATAATAATGTGAGACAAACTGCAATGATCCCCAAAGATCCCAAGTCACAGTTAAGTAAAGCTTTAGAAACACACTAAAAGTGGTCTCCTACTTCCTCACTAAAATTTATCTACAGCCAGGCACCAGCAGCTCATGTCTGAATAGTTTGTGAGACCTTATCTTGAAAAAACCCATCATAAAAAAGAGCTAGTAGAGTGCCTCAAGGTGTAGGCCCTGAATTCAAACTACAGCACTGCAAAAATAAATAAAATCTACAAAGAAACAAAAGAGAATTTTTAAGCTAAGCATTACCTACCTTTTTATACGTTCCTGTTCACTAGTATCCAAAGCTCTCAGGGTTCGGGCATAAAGGACAACAATGTCATTATGTTTGGCTTTCTTGTTGCACTAAAGAGTATAATGAGACACAATTAGTGTGGTTCTAGGAATTCTGACTTAACATGTTGGGTCCTTACATATAGTCTTTACCTGGGGGCATTTTCGTGCCTGTCCTTTGAGCCATTTAGAAATGCATTTATAGCCAAAGAGGTGCCCACAGCGTAATGCTGAGAGCCGGTGTTCCCCAGCATTGGTCCACTGTTCCAAACATATCGTGCAAGTATCCCCTTCTTCATCATCCACAGAAGCAGAAGTTAGAGGTGAGCTGGGTTTCTGGGGAGACTGCTAGATGGAAATTGATAAATAAAATCAAATGAGAAAATGTGAAGTAGTCCTTAAAGAGGCTGTACAATTCTTTCAAGTTAACAAAAGTAGGCAAAAATGAACCTAATTGAAAAGGCTGCAGAACAATGAAATCACTTGCCACTTTTTTTCTAGGATGTAATATGGCAAAACATAAGCCAAATTCATCCTGATTTTATTTTTGATTTCTTGGAATTAAACTCAGGGCCTAGTGCCTGCTAAGGCTGTCATCTACCACTGAGCTACATCTCAGCACTACCTTTTTTTTAAAAAAAATATCGAGAGTCTGGATATGAAACTCATGATCCTCCTGACTCAGGTTTTCAAATGCTAGGATTATAGGCATGAGTCAGCCTGGCCTATTTTCTGATCTCATGAAATTCTTGGATTTTTTTCCTTCATTCAAACAAAGGAAAGCAGCTATCTATACAGAGCTATAAAATAGCAAAAAATGTTCTAGCTACTACCATGATAATCAACAACAGAGAATAATAGGCTTGTTACACATTTAAAATTAGGCCTATTACCAACTCAGATAGATATAAAATATTTAGCACATAAGACTCTCAGGAAAAATCAGAAAATCAAAAGATATACCAGCTTACAAAAAACACACAGTGGTCAACAGACAATCACTATAATTACAGAAATGCAAATTAAAGAAACCATTTTTCTTTTTTGGCAGTACTGGGGTTTGAACTCAGGGTCTACACCTTGAGCCACTCCACCACCCCTTTTCTGTGATGGGTTTTTTCAAGATAGGATCTTGGGAACTAGGCAAGTGCCTAGGCTGGCTTTGAATCAAGATCCTACTGATCTCTGCTTTCTGAGTAGCTACAATTACAGGAATGAGCCACTAGCGCCTGGCTAAGAAACCATTTTTCACTTATTAGATTGATATAAATTGATGACTGATGACACCAAGCACCATTAAGGGTGATAGAAAAACAGACATGCTTATACACTGATGCTGTTAAAAGTATGGGTATATAAATTTCTGTGGGCAGTTTGGTCTTATCTATCAAAATGAAAATACATCTCTTTTCTTAGACCTAGCAATCCAACTATGGTATGTATGACAGGAGTTAACTGAAAATCTATAACTATGATAGAATACCAGATAGCTATTAAGAACATGATTTACTGGGTGTGATGGTGCATACCTTTAAACTCAGCGCTCAGGAGGATGAGGCAGGAGGACTGAGAATCCAGGCCAGCCTTGGCTACTACATATTGAGTTCAAGGCCAGCTTGAGCTACAAAGCGAAACCCTGTCTCAAAAAAAAACAAAGACTGGGGATGTATTTCAGCAGTACAGTGCTTGTCTAGCATGCCTAAGGCCCTGGGTTTGATCTCTAGCACCAAAAACAAAAACAAAAACAAGATTCAACTTTTTTTTTTTTTTCCGGATGAAGGGTCTCGCCAAGTAGCCCAGGCTAGTCTCAACTTGCAATCCTTCTGCCTCAGCCTCCAGAGTACTGGGATCACAGGCTTATGCTTCTGTGTCTTACAAAACTGCAACTTTGTAGTACAGTGATAATGAAAAGCTATCCAAGATGTAGTAAGCTGGGGAAAGAAAAAAGCCAGACTCAAAACAAGTTATATATAATAAAGCCTTTTTGTCAGGTGCCAGTGGCTCATGCCTGTAATCCTAGCTGCTCAGGTGGCAGAAATGAAAAGGATTAAGGTTTGAAGCCAGCCCAGGCAAATAGTTCTCAAGACCCTATCTCAAAAAAACCCAACACAAAACAGGGCTGGCAGCATGGCTCAAGGAGTAGAGCACCTACCTAACCTAGCAACAGTGAGGCCCTGAGTTCAAACCCCAGTAACCCCCTCTCCAAAAAAAATCCCTCTTGTGTAAACTTAAAAAAACATTTAGCCAGGTGTGGTAGTACATACCTATAATTCCAATAGAGACAGGAGGACTGAGAATTTGAGGGCTACATAGTAAGTTCAAGGCAGGGCTGCACTACATTAACAAGATTCTGTCTCAAAACTAACTAACTAAATTTCACATACACAGACTTACATGTACATACAATTTTCCAGAAAGAAAAACCTGGAGACCATACAAAAACATGCAACTAATAGATAAATAATGCTTCAACTTCAGTAGAAGAATTCACAGCAGGTATAATAAACAATAATTAAAGTTGTTTTATCACTAAGTAATAATTCTGTTTAATAGTTTTTAAAGCATATTTATATTTACTTGGGAGGCAGAGATTGGGAGAATTTCAGTTCAAGGAAAAAAGTTACTAAGACCCCATCTCATGCCAGACATGGTGGTTCATGCCTGTGATTCCACCTACACAGTAGGCATAAGTAGAAGGACTGCAGTCCCAGGCTGAACTCTACCTGAAAGATTACTAAAGCAAAAAAAAAAAAAAAAAGGCTGAGGGCATGGCTAAAGTGGTAGAGAATCTGCCCAACAAGCACAAGGCCCTGAGCTCAACACCCACCATACCCCCCCAAAAAAAAAAAAAGTTCATATTACCTGTTTGGAGAGGGTCTTGTCTTCGCTAACACATGTCACTTCTTGCTCTGCTGTAGTAACTCCTTGTGGCACTACTGAGTTGTACCCAGAAATGATGGGATAGGTAATACACAAAAGAAGACCTGAGTTAGGTATGAGAAGTCAGCAGGAAAAAGCTTAACTCACTGTGGTTTTCAATTTTTAATTGATAGGTTCCTGCAAAAGGGATAACAAGTCCCTCAAATAGCATCAGTAAATTATTATTTTAATTACTTTGGATAGTCTCAAACAGACATACATAACTACATGACTGTTCAGTTAACCTGCAAGTACCCATCAACTCATTTAAAAAAATTATCAACATTTTGCTAATCTTGTTTCACCTAAGCCCCATTCCACTGTTTTACGTTTCTAGGAGCCACGCACAGTGGTGAGCATTTGTAGTGCTAGCTACTCAGGAGGCTGAAGCAGGAAAAATCACCTGATGCAAGAGTTTGAGACTGGCCTGGCCAATATAGCAAGGCCCATCTCACAATAAAAAAACAAAGAAACAAAAAAGCCAAATAAACAAAAGAACATTTCTAGCCCAAAAAGATACCTCATGTCTATTTTATTCACTTCCCATTTGCCACTGAAACCCTAAGCATCCACCAGTCTTGTATCAGTAGACTTGTCTTTTCTGGACATTTTAATAAGTAGAATCACAGAAATAGTTATGCTAGTATACTGTTCTATGAAATATTTTTTCAATGTAATCTCTGTCTTTTTTTGTGGTACTGGGGTTTGAATTCAGGGCCTCATGCTTGCTAGTAAGGTGCTCTACCACTTGACCCATTCTGTCAGAGTGTGTGTGTGTGTGTGTGCGCGCACACTCTACTACTTGACCCATTCTGTCAGTGTGTGTGTGTGTGTGTGTGTGTTTGCCCAAGATGGCTTTGAACCGTGACCCTCCTCACTTCCGCTAGTAAAGTGCTCTACCACTTGACCCATTCTGTCAGTGTGTGTGTGTGTGTGTGTGTGTGTGTGTGTTTGCCCAAGATGGCTTTGAACCGTGACCCTCCTCACCTCTGCCTCCTGAGAAGCTAGGTTTATAAGCATGAGCCATCGGTGTCAGGCTCCATGTAATCGTTTACTCATAAAGTACTCCCTACTACTTGGTATCATCACTTATGTTTTGTTCTGATAATAGAGTGGTTTCATTTTTTTAACCTAGATCTCTGATCTACTTGTAAAATATATCCTTTTATGGTTCTGTACTATCTCTACTAATTTGAGATATTCTATTTACAACACAATATATTTCAAATACACGTTTGAATGGTTTTCTAGATGTTCCATTTGTAAAATGTCCTATATGAATACATCTCTGAGGTGTTTACCTTGTTCCTTTATCCCTTTCCCATAAACGTGCAAACTGGTTACTAGATCTGTAGTTGTGAGTAGACTCAGGTTTCTTTTTGGTGTCAGCAGTATTTCCTAGGTACGAATATTTCTGACTGCAGCCTATTAAAAGGGACATTAGATCCGGTGGTTCTGCTTTTTAAGATGCTAAAATTGATCACTGGGTCAAATACCATCAAGCTTTCAGCCTAATGATTTTAGGCTCCACTGATGATCTTTGTCTAGATACATCATTTTACTTAGATTAATGAAATGGTGATTTCTCTATCATTCCATCTGCAATTATTAGCTATGTATCTCTACTTATAAGATCTTCCTGGCTGGTGGTGTAGTTCAATGGTAGAGTCCTTGTCTAACATGTGTAAGGCCCTGAGCTTGATCTCCAGCATAGCAACAAAACAAAAAAACTTCTTTTAACTATTTAGTTATCCTAAATAGTTTATATAGTAAATGCAGGATAAATGCTTTATCATTTACTTACCAGTTTTTGAAAGAATGACTTGAAGTTCAAACAATTTACTTATGATGGTAACAGGTGAGGTTTTTGAAAATTATGTAATTATGAATTTATAGTTTTGATGTATCTCAATCCATAACCCAGGAATAATATATTAATTTTCTGATGTTTAAATCACACTATCTTAGGCCACTATAAGTCCTTTCAAGGTAGCTCTTGTAAATGGGCAAGTGAACTAAACAAAACTTTCTCAAAAGAAGAAATTCAAATGGCCAAAAAACACATGAAAAAATGCTCACCATCTCTAGCAATAAAGGAATGCAAATTAAAACCACGCTAAGATTCCACCTCACCCCTGTTAGAATAGCCATCATCAGCAACACTACTAACAACAGGTGTTGGTGAGGATGTGGGGAAAAAGGAACCCTTTTACACTGCTGGTGTAATGCAAACTAGTACAACCACTCTAGAAAAAAATTTGGAGGCTTCTTAAATATCTAAACATAGATCTACCATATGATCCAGCAATACCACTCTTGGGGATATACCCAAAAGAATGTGACTCAGGTCACTCCAGAGCCACCTGCACACTCATGTTTACTGCAACACTATTCACAATAGCCAAGTTATGGAAACAGCCAAGATGCCCCACTACTGACTATTGGATTAAGAAAATGTGGTATTTATACACAATGGAATTTTATGCAGCCATGAAAAAGAATGAAATCTTATCATTCGCAAGTAAATGGATGGAATTGGAGAACATCATTCTGAGCGAAGTTAGCTCACAATGATCAAAAGACCAAAAATCGTATGTTCTCCCTCATATTGGACATCAGATCAAGGGCAAACACAAGGTGATTGGACTTTGATCACATGATAAAGCAAGAGCACACAAGGGAGGTATGAGGATAGGTAAGACACCCAAAAAACTAGATAGCATTTGTTGCCCTCAATGCAGAGAAACTAATGCAGATACTTTAAAGTGACAGAGGTCAATAGAAAAGGACCAGGAACTAGAGAAAAGGTTAGTTGGAGAAGAATGAATTTAGAAGGTAACACACATGTACAGGAAAGCAATGCAAGTCAACTCCCTGTATAGCTATCCTTATCTCAACCAGCAAAAACCCTTGGTCCTTCCTATTATTGCTTATACTCTCTCTTCAACAAAATTAGAGATAAGGACAAAATAGTTTCTGCCTGGTAGTGAGGGGGTGGGGGGGAGTGAGGGAGGGGGTGGGGGGGTGAGGGAGGGGGCGGGGGAAAGGGGGGAGAAATGACCCAAACATTGTATGCACATATGAATAAAAGAAAAAAAAGAGTGAATACAAAAAGGGAAAAAAAAAAAAGGTAGCTCTTGTGCCTATTATTAACCAAACTCTATGAGACTTAGATGGCTTCTTTGCTTTTCTAGCACAATAAAATGTCCAAGGCACATCCTGTATGTTTCTTATTTTAGACCTGGAAAGCCGTTTCTTCCCCTTTTAGCGGGAAAAGGTACAGAAAAAACACAATGTGATTATCAGTGGCTCCCCCACCCTGGTTGTACTGGGGTTTAAACTCAGGGCTTTGTGTTTTCTAGGTAGCCAGTTCTACCACTTCAGCCATGCCTCCAGCCCATCAGTGGGTTTTAATGTATGCAGGGATCTCTACTTTAGGGGTCTCTGTTCCTAAATAAAGGACATTTACATAATAAAGTTCCATTTACATAATATATTAGCATTATACCAAGGTTTGAAAATGACAGTTTAAACAAAAGGTGCTGGTTTTATAAAACTTTTCTTTTTTGAAACAGGGTCTCACTACATAGCACAGGCTGACGTTGAACTCACAACCCTCTGGCTTCAGCCTCCAGAGTGTTGAGATTACAGATGTGCACTGCTACACCTGGCTGCACAAAATCTTTCTTTTAAATTAACAATCTACTTCTTTATCAAATGTGTAAGAAAATGAAAGGGAATGTAAAATGGGATTATAAGGGGACTGACGACTCAAATCACATAAAACTGCAAGTTTGATCAAATTCTTTCACTACCACCATGGTCAGTAAAAGCTCTGTATTATAAAATAGAACTCCATGGCACTTGGGAGGTCGGGTAGTACCAAAGCACAAAAATAAGAATTTCTACCTTTCTCAAGACTAAGCTTTATGGGTATTAGCTTTGTGAATCCAAACGTGCATAAAATACTAACCTTCTGAACTGACAGTTCTGGGTTCCTCTGCCTGGGCAACAACCTCTTCAGACTCAGCAGAGCTTCCACTGTCAGAATCAGAACTACTTGACACCTGCAAATCTTCGGACACAGGATTCCTAGCTTCTGAATCATAAGAGGTGGTTGGCAAGTGAGGCTGGGTCCTGCTCACCTGAAAGTAAGCATCTAGCGGTGCTCTCAACCTATATAAGGCAGAAAGACAACAGAATCATAATACAGTGGATCATCACTACAAGAATAACTCATAGTGATAGAAAGGTAAATTCTACTTCTTCTAATCTATTTCCAGGCTATTGAATGCAGCCTTTGAAAGCTGAAGCACTAGTAATAGCAGATTCGGGCAGATGCTATTTGGCCTAGATATTCCTTTCCATTTAGTCATGGCTACAATAGTTCACACTAGAGCTCGACTTTTCTGCTTAAAGTTAATTCTTCTGGTTTTCTGTTTTATTAGTATCTGGGAGTGGAAAAGAGTTGGGAGCTGGGCAACAGTGACTTATACCTATAATCCTAGCTACTCAGGAGGTAAAGATCAGGAGGATCAAGGTTCAAAGCCAGCCTGGGCATACAGTTAAGAGAAAAAAAACCCATCACAAAAAAAAGAAAAAAAGAAAAAGAAAAAGAAAAGGGCTGGTGGTGTGGCTCAGGGGTTTGTAGTTCAAACCCTGAGTACCACAAAAAAAGAGGGTTTGGGCAAGAAAAGGGCAAAAGGGTCTTGTTGCCCAAATATGGGCTCAGGGGGTTCTGCTGCTTTTAGACCAAGATGTTTTGGCCTTTTGTAGTACAGAACAAAGTCTGGCTTCAGTCATCATTGCTCATCTATTATTTAATAACAGTATTTTCCTTTTAAAACTTAAATCATATTTGTTTAAAATAAAATAAGAGCTTGGACCAGACTTAACCACTTTGAATTCATTCTGGTTGACTGACCTTTAACCATGACAACTACTATACCTCAGTTTCTCTTATTTCTGGGATAACAAACCATATCCTACTTATGCCCCAGAATTAAAGTTCTATATTAAAGCAAAAACAGTATTCTGAACTTTAGAATATATTACCTAGCTAATAACTACAAAATTTTATTCAAAGGTAACTTAATATCAAGTTTTAATAACCATCTTTATGACATTCATATTATTACCCAGAAATATTATTGGAGGCCACTCACAGAAAATTTTTAATTTCTAATAATTTAGCTGCAATTTATAACAAAATAGGGCTTTCTATTAAGAAAATTGATGACTATATGGAAGCAGGGCATGGTGGCACATGTCTGTGCTACCTCCCCATAATCTCATTACTTGGGAGGCAGAAGTGGGAAGAACACAAATTCCAGGCCAACCTGGAAAAGCAGGATCCTGTCTCAAAAAACCCCCAAGAAATTTAGAAGTCATAAGCAATCAGTCCTAGGAATACTCACACTTTTCCATGAACTTAGTGCGGTACTTACTTACAATATAATATTAGGAAAAACAATTTTTTTTCGGGCACTGGGATTTGAACTCAGGGCCTCAGGCTTGCTGCTTACTAGGCAGGCAGGTGCTCTTACACACTCCACCAGCCCATTTTGTGATTTTTTTTTTTTTTCTCAAGATAGGGTCTTGTGAATTATTTGCCCCAGGGCTGGCTTCAAACCATGATCCTCCTGACCTCTGCCTCTTTCTCAGCTAGGATTACAGGTGTGAGCCACAGGCACTTGGCTTGGGTTTTTTTGTTTTGTTTAGCGGTACTGGGGTTTGAACTTAGAGCTTTGTACTTGATAAGCAGGCACTCTACTACTTGAGTCACACACCCCCAAGCCCTTTTTGCTTTGGTTATTATGGAGATAGTATGTCATGGAACTTTTTGCCTGGGCTGGCCTCTAACCAAAATCTTCCCAATCTCCACCTCCAAAGTATCTAGGATTACAGATGTGAGCCACAGGTGCCTGGTGGGAAAAGAGGTTTAACATCACATTTATCTGGCTCCATGATCCATGTTCTTTCCACAGAATTATATAGCCCCTGGATTTCTAGGTTTACTTTCTTTGGAGAAGTAAGACATACAACTATCAGCTAAATAGCTTGGGTGACATCTTTCAACATCTAAATCCTATAATCTAATTATTGAGCACAGATTCTAAATACATCAAGCAATTTTCTTTTTTTTACTGAAAAAAGTAACAGTTTATTACAATTTATTTTATTTAACACTCTAAAAAGTTTCCAGCCATCAGCAGTTCCAGTGTAATTTTGGGTGCAATGGGGAATTCAGGAATCTTGGTGGAGCTGTTAGTATAGTCAATCTTGTAGGTAAAATACAAGCATACTTTGAAAGAACATGGGAAAGGATCTGTCTAAAATTTACCTCATTCTCAGCAAACTGACCTGGGCCTCTCCACATGGCTTTTATTGTTCCTGATGTTAGTACATGTTATCTCTTTACAATAAATTTGTGACCATCAGAATATATCAATTTAATATACATGGTACCAAGGCCTTCACAGCCATTATTAGGTTTTCTCCTCTCCATCCATTATGTTCTTATAAAATTTTACTTTGGTTCCAAAGGAACTTTAATAGTTTCTTGTCAGCCCTGCAGCTACTACAGCCACAGAAGCCATCTCCCCAGTGCACCGCCACAGCCGTTACTCCCACATCAAGCAATTTTCTGAGAAAGAGTTTGGCTTCTGTGTACATCAAGTCTATAACTATTTTAATCAATGCACATTTACAACTCAAGACTGGAGCCATAGTAGTAGCAGGGTCTGAGACAATTATCAGCAGAATCCATAGAATCAAGAACCAAAAGGTACCAGTCCAATTCCAAAGTTACCCCAGGTAAATAAAACATTATTTCATTTGCTTCATTTATACAACATAAGTACAGATGACCTCGATACCACTTTTTAATATAATCTCAATATTTACACAGTGTTAGAAAACAAATGGATCTTACTGAAGCTTCCTCCATCTGCCTGTGTAAAACCAAGTCAGATCCAAGGTCAGTATCAGCTAACCCCTCCATGCTATAGCTATGAAACCCTCAACAATGGTATTCTTTCAGGGTCCAAATTTCTTTCACATATAAAATAAAAATATTGAACTCAATCTCTCAACATTATAAAAATATTTAGAAGGTCAAAAGTGAAAGAAGATATTTTAAGTAAAGCAAGTTGAAGTAAAACAAACACCACAGATAGGGCAAAGATAATTGTTATTCTTTATATAACCCTGTCAAGCCCTTAAAGAGGCAAGTCCAAAGACTATGAAAGAAAATTATTTTCAGACTGAACACATAGCTCAGCAATACAGCATGTACTTAGCACATGCAAGACCCTGGATCAGATCCCCCAGCACATTAAAAAAAACACAACCTCTATTGAGACTGTTGCTAACAAAAGCATATTCAAACTCAGCAAAACTTATCCCTTGAATTACTTAATGAAGTAAACAAAACGCTTTATTTCTATCTGACTTACTAGGAAATGGGGGTTCAGAAAAGTTATCTTTGGCAGCCTTGGGAGTATGACTAGAGCCTACATTTCATTATTTCTAGAATGGCACCAACCATATAACTTATACATATGTATTTACCTGGCACTATCTGTCCTCTGAGACCCTCCAGCTCTTGTCCTATGTGAAGCAGACTCCCTCCTCCTCCTTGCTCTCACTGGACCCACATTGTGGTTTGAAGGTAGAGGTCTCAGAAATTCCAACATGCCATGAAGTCTCTGCAGTCCACTGATGAAGCTGTTCATTGAATCCAACGAAGATGCTTGGACAGAGTGGTTAGCACCAGATCTCTGCGTATGCTCCTCTGAAGCTCCTGGATTGCTGTTCTCCCTATTTTCTTCTGAGAGCTCTACTTCCTCAACCTGGTCAATGGACACCAGTGGAGCAGGCTGGAGCAGGGATGGTTCTCCTTGACTGTTGACCACTTCAGGAGGAGCAGGCTGGAACAGGGGTGGTCCCCCTTGGTTGTTGAACACTTCAGGAGTCATAGGCTGGAGCAGGGGTGGTCCCCCTTGGCTACTGATCACTTCAGCAGAAGCAGGCTGGAGCGGGGGTGGCCCCCCTTGGTTATTAATCACTTCAGCAGGACCAAGCTGGAGCAAAGGTGGCCCCCCTTGGTTGCTGACCACTTCAGCAGGAGCAAGTTGTTCTGTAGCACCATCTAACTGCACTTGAAGATCATAGTCCATTGCTTCATGAGTCATAACTGGGGATGCAATATATTTGTAAAAAGTATTAGTGAAATAGATGAAATATGTTATATAGTTGATATAATCACAACTAGTCTTTCAGATGTTCATTTAAGATCATTCTTAGCAAAACTCAGAAGCTGCTGGACGCCAGTAGCTCACACCTGTAACCCTAGCTACTTTGGGAAGGTGAAATCAGGAGGACTGAGGTTTGAGACCAGCCAGGGAAAATAGTTCCCAACAAAATAACCACAGCAAAATGGACTGGAGTTAAGGACCTGCTTTGCAAGAGCAAAGCTTGAGTGCAAATCCCAGTCCCATCCAAAAACAAATACACACACACAAAAGAGACACTAAAAAGATTTTAGTTAAGTCAAGTGTTTTGGTAATCACTTTTTCTCTTAAGAAGCACTTTGGGGTCAGGGTCTTATACTTACAAGGCCATTTGAACTGCTCTGCCAGTCCTTTTTACATTGGTTATAGTCTCACTTTATGCTCAGGCCAGCCTGAACTGTGATCCTCCTGATCTCCACCTCCCAAGTTGCTAGCATTACAGGCTTGAGCCACCACAGCATTTTTTTTTTCCCCCTTCCAGAGTCTTACTATATAGCCCAGACTGGCCTTGAAGATTCTCCTACCTCTGCCTCTCAAGTTCTGTGATTACAGGCTTATACCATATGTCTAGTTCCATTAAGAAGCATTTATGGAGCTGGGTGCTGGTGGCTCACACCTATAATCCTAGCTACTCAGGAGGCAGAGATCAGGAGGATAATGGCTTGAAGCCAGCCCAGGCAAAGAGTTGGAAAAAATCACAAAAAAGGGATAGTAGACTGGCTCAAGCATTAAGAGCACCTGCCTAGCAATCGTGAGGCCCTAAGTTTAAACTCCAGTGCCAAAAAAAAAAAGAAAATTATATTGTGATGTTTGGTTTTAGAAGTGAAGGGGGAACAGGGAGTGCCACTTAAAGACTCAATTGTGATGGAAAGGCTCTACAAAAAAGAAAATTGAGGTGAGGAATGAAGGATTTAAAAAGCTGGCTCTATGAAGAACTAAGTAAACTTTTCAAAAGGAAATCAGTGCACAGGTCCGTAACGAGGGTGGGCATGGGTACCAGAGAGGCTAGCAGACCAGTGTTAACAACACAATGAGAAAGAGAAGACAGTAGCGTATGATGAAGTTGATGGGCAGAACACTATCAGCAGAGTTCTTATGGGCTTTGGTAAATTTCTTCTGTATTAGGAATAGACAACAGAGGAGCAAAAATGCAAGTCATATGATGAGTTTAGAGCAACTGTGGGAGTCCAGACTACTCATGGAGGCTTGGGTGAGAGGAGAAACAGTGGAGATGGGAAGTAGACAACTAAGAATCTTTAGGGCTGGAGGTGTGGCTCAAGCAGTAGAGGTCCTAAGTTCAAACCTTGCTCCTCTCTCAAAAAAAAAAAAAGGGGGGAGGCGGGAATCTTCAGAACAGGAATGCTTTTTGTTTTTCCTTACAGTGCTGAGGATAGATCCAGAACCTCACACATCCTATGCAAGTATTTTGTCACTGAGCTACACTTCCTACCCAGTCATGCTTTTTTTAAAATCACAGATTAAATCACCACAGAAGGAAAAATGACAGAAGACCACCAAAGACTAAAATCAGAAGACGACAGTTACAGGAAAAGAACCCAGTTACAAAGACAAAGATATGCGAGTGTGGTGTCTTACAAGAATGTTTCAAGCATCAAGTGCCACTGAGGGAAGAATGGCCACTAGATTTAGCATTAGATGACCCCCCCCCAAAAAAAAGGTAGTTTCCCTGAAGTGGTGAGGTCAGAGGTCAGACTGGAGTGGCTGAGTAAATGGAGGAATTCCAGTCAAGAGAGGGATGAAGCACTTGTGTCTCTTTCTCTAGTCATTTCTGAAAACCCGTAAACATGATAACATTTTCTTTTAAAAGACCAGGCTCAGCAGCTCACACCTGTAACCCCAACTACTTTAGGCAGATACTGGGAAGATGTTGGTGTGAAGTAACTGGAGACTTTAGGTGGAGATGATCTGGGGCTCACCCCAGGCAAAAATATAACTCTATCTGAAAAATAACAAAAGCAAAAAAAAGGGCAGGGGTCCAGGCACAGCGGCTCATGCTGTAATCCTAGCTACTCAGGAGGCAGAGATCAGGACCACCTCAGTTCAAAATGAGCCCAGGCAAAAGAAAAAAAGTGAGACCCTATCTTGAAAATACCCAACACAAAAAAAGGACTGGTGGAGTGGCTCAAGTGGTAGAGCACCTACCTGGCAAACATGCAGTCAAATTCAAACCCCAGGACTGCCAAAAAAAAAAAAAAAAAAAAAAAACAACCAAAAAATGCTACCATGTGGACTTATAAATACATGATAAACACCAAATTCAGGAGAGTGTGCAGGGGTACACAAGAGATTTCAACTATAAAATTGCATTTCTCAGCTGGACATGGTAGCAGCTGTAATTACAGGCCTGTAATTCCAGCACTTGGGAAGCTGGGAGAGGAGGATGGCAAGTTTGAGGCCACCCTGGACTACCTGTCTCAAAAATACAAACAGAAAGAAAGTTATATGTCCTTTAAAAATTTGGAAATATTTATGTCAGAAGACCAAGATTCATTAGATCTGAGTGATGAATGAACATTCTTTTATTAGTCTCTGTACTTATCAGCATGGTTATATACTAAAAAAAATTAAATTTCCTCCCATCCTGTGTCAAGACAGCAACCAGTTCTAATTACAACAGGAAGGCAGCAGAATCCACGCCTAACCTAACAGTGAAATCCCCAGGGCGTCAAGTTCAGCTAGTGCTAACACCTACCAAAAGTATCCCCTCCACTTCAAAACAAGGAGAAAACCAAACAAGTAAACACAAACAACAATGAACACACCAGAAACCACGCATTTACGTGGCTCACGCCCGTAACCCTAACTGCTTGGGAGGCAGAGATACAGAGGCTGGGGTTTCGAGGCCCTCGAGGATAACCAGCGCAGGGCTGCGAAGTGGCTCAGGCGGTGGAGCATCTGCTTAGCAAGCACGAAGCCCTGAGTGCGAACCCCGGTACCGCCAAAAAACAACACAAAACAAAACAAAAAAACCCCAAAAGACATCAAATTAACGATGAAGTCCCGCGGCCAGCTTTCCACCTCCGCCTGCCATGAAAGCTTGCGCCGCGTTCAAGGCCCCCGAGTCCCCGACAGCAGGAGTTGACGAGGCAGCGGGAAATTCCGTCCGCACTCGGTTCGAATCCCTGCTCTGCCACTTACGACCCGGGGGAACCTGAAGTGGCTTTCCTGACCTCGGTTTAACAGATTCACCCGCAAAACCGGGATAATGAAAGTATTACTTTATTATTAAAAAAAAAAAACACCCAAAGTTCTTCTGTTAACTTGAACGCAGGCGCTCAAATATTCGAAGACCCGCCCTCGGGAAGAAGCCTCGAGAACGCCGATTCCGGCCCCCGAGCCGCCACCGACCGCGCGGCGTTCTCGCCTTCCCCGGCCCCCACCTCCAGAGCGGAAGGGCGAGGGTTCGAGCCCCTCAGCCTCCGAATCTCCTCAGGCCGCCGAGTTCCAAGCCCGCCCCCAGGCCCCGCCACCGAGAACTACGTAGCCCAGGAGTCATCCCGGAACTAGAGACCCACCGTCTGAGGAGAAGCAAGCGCCCACCTCACCTGAAGCTGAAAGGACGCGGCCCGACTTGCGAGACCGCAGCACTCACAGTCGCTACCTCAGACGAACTCCCGACCGCGCCGGCGCCAACCACCGCTTCTGGAACAACTCAAGCTCCCCGCCCGAGCCGCGGCCCCGGCCAGCTCCGATTGGACAGCAGCTCCAAACGGCGACCAATGAACACGCTCCTTCTTCATTTAGTCGCCAGTAGCTGAAAAAGCGGGGCTCTCACTGGCTGGTCCTTCGTAGTCTTACTAGGCGGGAACTCGCGCTAAGAATTGTGGTACAATCGGTAGAAATCGAAGTCTGTCGCCTCGCGCCCCGCTCGCTCCAGAGCCGAGCAAAAGATTATTATTATTATTTTTAAACCACACTATATTTGAACTTTCTGGCAGGAGAAAGATACGAGGAAAACATTTCTCGGTTCGTTTGAAATGAAGATGCAAATGTTAAAATTACGGCTTCTCCCTCACTCTTTAGTGAAAGCCATCTTTATCCAAAAGATAGTAGCTAATCGAGTGATTTTAGAATATTGCCTCAGAAGACAAGGGAAGCCGTCTTGTTTACGTCTGTCCTCTCATGAGAGCTTGCTCACGCGGTCAAGGAAGAGTGTAACCACACCATCTCCTCAACCTGAAGCCATCCCCATGACTTGCTAGCAAAGATTTTTCAAACATCTCACTGAAGGACAAAAGCTCACTTGCATGAGGAAGACTTAAAAATCTTAGACTTTTTGCATTAGGAATGTTTTATATTTTTTCAGGAACAGGAAAATTACATGCAGATATTTTCTAGACGTCAGGCAGCATGTACATTGCCGGAATTTCACTGACTTGGCTGCCGGTTTTCGGTGAAATTGTTAGCTCAGGAGATCACAAATAATTAAAAGTCACCGGTACTCAACTCTGACTTCTCAGTGTTCTCTAACCTTGTCACAAGACCGCATCGACAGGGTACCTTTCCTTGTCCCACTCCCTAAGAGGAGCGAAGGTATGGTACAGCTCCGGCGAGGAGCAAGGAATTTTCTTTTTATATAATCGTTTTGTTTTTGCTTTTGGGTTTTTTTTTTTTTGGTGGTACTGGGGTTTGAACTCAGGGCCTGTGCTTGCTAGGCAGGTGCTCTACCACTTGAGCCACTCCCCCCGGCCTGAATTTTCTTTTTATAAACAAATGGAATATTGTGGAGTAGAATGAAAATTTTTTGAGTGATTCTCATTATTATATAAGTACTATGCAGATAATTAGGCAGTACAAAGAAGTAAAAAAGAAAAACTATCTCTAGCCAGAGAAACCTCTATTAATGATGTGTGAAATCCTTATTTAAATATAGATGAGATGGTGTTTAAACCTAAAATGTATCTTGAATTGCTTTCTATGTTAAAGAATACAAGCCAGGTGCCGGTGGCACACCTGCAATCCTAGCTACTCAGGAAGCAGATATCAAGAAGATTGAGGTTCAAAGCCAGCTGGGGCAAATAGTTCCTGAGACCCTATTTTGAAAATACCACACACACACACACAAAGGGTCAGTGGAGTGGCTCAAGTGGTAGAGTACCTGCTTAGCAAGTGTGAGGTCCTGACTTCAAACCCCAGTACCACCAAAAAGAAGAGAGTGACGTGACCTGTTGTGTTCACCAGGATGACCTTGAATTTTTTTTTAAGGTTTATTTTTTTTTTCATTTTTCTTTTATTATTCATATGTGCATACAAGGCTTGGGTCATTTCTCCCCCCTGCCCCCACCCCCTCCCTTACCACCCTCCGCCCTTCCCTTACCACCCACTCCACCCCCTCCCTCTCCCCCCCCCCCAATACCCAGCAGAAACTATTTTGCCCTTATTTCTAATTTTGTTGTAGAGAGAGTATAAGCAATAATAGGAAGGAACAAGGGTTTTGCTGGTTGAGATAAGGATAGCTATACAGGGCATTGACTCACATTGATTTCCTGTGCGTGGGTGTTACCTTCTAGGTTAATTCTTCTTGAACTAACCTTTTCTCTAGTACCTGTTCCCCTTTTCCTATTGGCCTCAGTTGCTTTTAAGGTATCTGCTTTAGTTTCTCTGCGTTAAGGGCAACAAATGCTAGCTAGTTTTTTAGGTGTCTTACCTATCCTCACCCCTCCTTTGTGTGCTCTCGCTTTTATCATGTGCTCATAGTCCAATCCCCTTGTTGTGTTTGCCCTTGATCTAATGTCCACATATGAGGGAGAACATACGATTTTTGGTTTTTTGGGCCAGGCTAACCTCACTCAGAATGATGTTCTCCAATTCCATCCATTTACCAGCGAATGATAACATTTCGTTCTTCTTCATGGCTGCATAAAATTCCATTGTGTATAGATACCACATTTTCTTAATCCATTCGGATGACCTTGAATTTAAGGTCCCACTCCCCCACCCCTCTTGGCTTTGAACCAAGATATTCCTGATCTCTGCCTCCTGAGTAGCTAGGATTATAGGCATGAGCCACTGGCAATCAACAAAATTCTGTTTTCTGAAGACACTGGTAAGAAAATTAAAAGTCAGTTTGGTGGAGTGGCTCAAGCAGTAAGAGCTTCTGCCTGGCAAGCATGAGACCCTGAGTTCAAACCCCAGTGCCACCAAAAAAAAAAAAAAAAGAAAGAAAGAAAGAAAATTTAAAGTCAAGCTGCATACTAGCAGAAAATATTTTCAAATAATTTATCCAATCATCCTGATTTCTCTCTTTTGAGTAGCTTGGATTACAGGCATGAGCCACCAGAGCCCAGCTCAAATAATTTATCTGATAAAGAACCTGCATTAGAATTTATAGAGAACTCTCACTGGCAGCGTGGCTCAAGTGGTACAGTATCTGCTTAGCAATTGTGAGGCCCTGAGTTCAAAATCCAGTACTGCCAAAAACAAATAGTAAAAAAATCGGATACCCAAGAACTCTGAAAACGCCGAGATTGCTGGCAGTGTCTCACATGGTAGAGTGCTGCCTAGCCAATATGAATCCCTGAGTTCAAACCCCATTCAGTACCACCAAAAACAAACAAACAAAAAAACCAAATAAACAAAAACCCCACCATGATTACTGAAACAAAAGAACCCAAGTTAAAATATGGGCAAAATAGCTGAACAGACACTTCACCAAAGAAAATACATGGATGGCAAACTAAATGAAAGTACATGTAACAGTTTTAGTCATTAGGAAAATACAAACTAAAGTCTTAGGAAGATATTACTCACTACAGCTCTATCCTAATGGCCAAAATTTAAAAGCCTGGCTCTCCCAAAAGTTGGCAAGGGTATAGAGAAACTGGAACTCTTATGCATGGTCTGCAAAAATGAGAAATGCCACAAACTCTTTCCAATTTTAAAATTTTATTTTATTTTATTATACTAGGGTTTGAACTCAGGGCCTCATTCATTCTATCACTTGAGCTTTGACCCCCCCATCCCTTATTTGCTTTAGTCATTTTTCAGTTAGTGTCTGGCATTTTTGTCCAGGGTCTGCCTCTGACCTCAATCCTCCTGATTTCTGTCTTCCAGGTATTTGGGATTATAGCCCGGTTTGGCAATTTCTTTTTTTTCTTTTTTTTTTTTTTTGTGACAGAAGGATGTTTATTCTGCATGTGATTTTGAACTTGTTTGCATCAGTTTCCCTGTGTTTCATACCATTTTTTTTTCACAGCCTTTTTGAACATTAGACAGAATTTGCCAGAAGTTAAAAGGGAAGGAACATTCTTTCTGCTGAAAAAAATCACATTTAAGTTAAACATTAGGAATCCTTTGAATATTAAGAACTGAAGCTGCGGGAGTCACATTTATTTGTAGGTCCCAAGATAGCCCTGAGGTCTAAATAGGAAAATATCTTTTATAAACTGTAACAAAATACTCACCTGAAAAATAAAACACTCTGAAATTAATACAACTTAATCCATATTCAACAGCTTCCCAACATCCAGACACCTACCGGATCTTTCAAAATGACAAAGGAAAGAGCTTTACATTCAGAAAACAGAGCTTATACCACAGTGACAAAACTTGAAACCACCCCTGTGCAGAAGTCTATTTCACAGTGCACGCAGCATGACGTCACCACGTCACCACAGGGATCCTTGGTTGTCCCATAAACGCCAGGCAGCACTACCACGTGAACAAAGAAAGTTCCAGTAAGATTAGTTCTGTTCATTTGAACGAGACATAGGGTTCTAATTCCTTAGGCTCCCCGAAGGTCCCCAGGGTTGCCAGTACCATTTCTGGGTATACAGTGTCCTCACCATGCACCTGTTGTGCAATTCTAAATCAGCCTCTAGAACTTCTAATTGGTGCTAAGGTGCCTCGGATACTACCTTCCAAAATGCCCCAAAATGCCAGGTCAACACAGCCCACTGCTCTGTGGAGGATGGCCAGCTTCCTGCCCCATCCCTTCTACGCTTTCCTTGAAAACAGCAGCAGGATGTCACACTGTGACCAATAGCCCACCTGGTGCAAGCTTTGATCAATGTACCTAATACACAGGCAGATGGGGCAATCCCAAAGCTTCCTCAGAGTAAGATGTTGTTCCTACACTAGGAATGTCAAGGACTCCAGTCCCCACTCCAGGCCGGGCTGTGTGCTGGGTGCCTGCTTAGAGCTGGGGGTGTCGTCCTTGGTTCAGGGCCCCTCTAGCAGCTGATGCTCATTGAGGGCAGAGATGACCCACACTCAGTCAGAGGCTCTTCCTGAGCTGCCTTGGCTCAGCACCACCTTCCAGGTAAAAAGACCTGGGCTGTGACAACTCAGTTGTTCAGTGTCTTCATGTCAATTGTCACATTGGATGGGCACTCCCATTGGGTCTTCAGGCTGTGCAATCCTTCTGAGACACACTATCAAAGCAGGTCACATTGACATTCCTGGGGACACAGCGAGCCATGGTAGCAGTCACCTTTGGAGCACAGAATCTCATCTTCTTTCAGTTAGTGTTCGTGCAGATGGTGTGCACTGTGTGTTCACACACATACGCTTGCATCTGCAATCACAGCTGTCACACACTGTCCACGTAGGAACTGCCTACTGCAGAGGACTATCGGAGTACAACAGGGGCTGCGCCTTTCATAAAAGTCTTGTTTCAGGCTGGATCACAGTAAGAAAATTG